TCGGCGCTCTTTAGTCGGAACGAATCAATATATCTTTTTCTTTTTTTTAAAAAAAAATCTTAAAGAAAAAAAAAAAAAGATTACGCAGGAGAATTATGATAGGCAGGAGGATTTTACAAAACAGAGCCTGGAACACCGGTCGCCGATGGCTTTGTCCTTATATATCTTCACCTCCATCTCCGTCGCCGGCGTCAGAGCCGACGGAACTCTGCCATCTTCACTACTCCAGCTACGTTAAGGCGTTTTTATTAACCAACAATAACCCTGTCAATGTGAGTCCTTGTTCATGGATTCATTTCTGTTCAAATTCAAATAAAAAAAATCAGAAATTTTAACTCAACTCCGTATGAATTAGTTGCTAATTTGATGGTTTCGTTAAATTTGCAATTCAATTATTGCTGTAAATTGTTAAATAATTTGATTAATTTTTTTAAAATTGTAATTAAATATTCGAAATCTGGAAAATAGATGTAAGTTTTCGAGCAATGCTGAGGCTGATCTTCCTAAAAATGGAATGGTTGATGTGCCATTGGCACAAACCGGTGAACGTATTGCTGAATGTGAACTTCTCAAGTGGTTTGTTCAAGAGGTGAGTCAAAACGTTGACTTTTATGCTTTGATAATGTGTTCTGTCTTCATTTTATGTGACACTTCAATCCCAGGTCCAGATGGTATGAAGATATGTTATGATACATAAATTGAGAATTAAATCCAAACTTGTAAGGCATATTTTGTTGAACAAAATCGTGAGACTTTTAAGTCAAAGAGAATAATACTTTGCTGGGTATGGGTCTCACGTACGTTACATTCATCTAATGAATACCACTGAAAATCCAACCCCTTTGCGAAGTTCAAAGCGACAAAGCAACTATCGAAATTACTAGCCGTTACAAAGGGAGAGTTGCTGACATCTTCCATGTTCCTGGTAGCATTGTGAAGGTTAGAATCAGCTGCTAGTTTCAAGCTTGTCCGTTAAATTTTATGTTGATTGTTATGGTAGTTTATTATGTGATTCACCCGACTCTGACCTTTTTGAATATGTTGATTATGTGGCAGTTTTTTTTTTATGCCTTTTCCACCATGAGCTCATATGGGACAAGGATATTAATGTGTCCGAGTTTAATAAAATTGCAGGTTGGAGAAACTCTTCTTAAGATGGCTGTTGAAGAAACTCAAGTTCCACCAATAATCCTTCATAATTTGGAAAATGCAAAACCAGTTGATGCCAAATTGAATGGAGATTGTAGTGGCGTAGTCCTATCCACACCTGCTGTTCGAAACCTCGCAAAAGAGCATGGTATAAACATAAATGATGTCCTAGGAAGTGGAAAAGATGGCAGGGTATTAAAAGAAGATGTGCTTAAATATGCTATCCAGAAAGGTATCATCAAAGACCCATCAGTCACTGCTACTGCTGATCTTGGAGAGCTGTTACATGGAGAAAAGAGTTATTCTCAAGTGTCAACTCAAGTTGCAGGGCACTATGAAGATACCATAGTTCCCCTAAGGTATTGAATATGGATATACATGTATCTTAGAGTTAGTGGAATTTATAATACCGAAATATGATTATCATAGAGTTAAGTCTTATGTATAGCTTTATTTATAGTCCCAATGATAAAAATCTGTTAAAAAGAACATCATACATCCACTGTTGTCAATCAAGTGTGCACAAGGAGCCATAGAGGGGTAACTTCAAGTTAAAAGTTGAACTTGCAGTTTGACTTGATAGGAACTGGAGGCAGAATTTATAGGCAGCAATAAGATGTTACCAAAATGTTTGTGATTGTGTAAACAAAATTGCTATCCATTGGATGAAATTGTCCCTTTCTCTACTGTCTTTAAGTTTCTGTGAAATTGCTGATGATAAGTCTTATGTTCTTAATTTCTGTGGCATCAAACGGTCAAATGCAAGTTCTTGCCTACTTGTGGAAAATAATTATTGGCAGGCTGGTCAATTTAGTTGGAGTCAAAAGCATGATAATCATTTTTTTTTTTCCTTTTTTCAGGGGATTCAAGCGAACAATGGTTAAAACAATGTCCATGGCTGCTAAGGTTCCACATTTTCATTATGTAGAAGAGATTAACTGTGATGCACTTGCAGAGCTTAAAGCATCTTATCAAACTAACAATACTGAACCTGGTATAAAGTTCACGGTCCTTCCAATATTGATAAAGTCACTTTCAATGGCCTTGAGCAAATATCCCATGGTAAAGAGTTGCTTCAACGAAGAGTCACTTGAAGTTATCCTTAGAGGTCCGTAGAATTATTCTGACATTTACTTGGTTCTGTTTTTACTTCCGATTACCAAACTGGTGTGTGTTAATGTATCTGCATGGATCACATGAGCATCCTACTAATTCTCACTCAAAAATTCGTGAATCTTAAAGAATAATGCTTCAATGGAGGCTTATTGTAGCAGTCATTGTGTGGAGATTCGCACCCAATCTGGGTGTAGCACTTAGTGACTCCCACGATGTAGTATTTAGTTCCTGTTGACTGGTTATTGTAGATTTAGATCTTTACATATATATAATTCCTTATCCACACATTATTCCAATGTGGGATTGAGAGTGTTATAATCTCCCCACCTTTAAAGCTTGATGTTCTTTGTCAAGTCGAGTCCAACCACAAGATCAAGATCACACTCACTGTATAGCACTTAAAGACTCCCACGATGTAGTACTTAGTTCCCGTTGACTGATGATCGCTTTGATAGCATTTGTGGAGACCTGTACTCAACCTGGGAGGTATTGTCTGCTTTGACTCAAAGGTCTCACGGTTTTGTTCCACAAAAAGCGCCTCACAAGTTTTAAGTATAGATCTCTACATATATATCATTCTTTAACCACACATCCTTCCAATATGTGATTGAGACATTGCACATTGCATAGTTGCTGTAACTTCAATGTAGCATTTAACATGTGCTATTTTGACCAGATTATGCAAACAAATACGTACTGAAGTTGCATGCGCAAATGCATTGTTGTTTTCACTGCAAAAATGTTTCCGTATTTCAAGTGTCAAATCCTAATTGCTTCCTAGAAAATGTGTCAATCAGTAACAGGCTGTTATAATTTTGAGTGTTTTATCCATGATATCATAGTCTTGGTTGCTTATCCCCCTGATCTCCTAATGTGAATCATGGTCATTCTCTGTGATTCTTTTAGGTTCCCATAAAATTGGGATTGCCATTTCCACTCCAAACGGCTTAGTGGTGCCAAACATAAAGAACGTTCAGACTCTTTCTATCTTGGAGGTTCGTTATGTTTGACTTCTCAACTATTTAGGGATAGTAATTCTTCTTATTTCCCTCTCTCCATCCTCTTCACAAAGATAGTTTTTCCTTTCTTCTTCATTATTGAAGTGTAATAATTAATATTCTCCCGCCGCTTCAATACCAACCTCCTTTCCACATTGTCCATAATTTTAGTGCTATAAATAACAACAAACTAAGCTTTACAGATAACACTGAGGTCAGCTATATGAAAGGTCAGAAAAAAGAACCATGCTAGGTCATAATTTTGAATTTTTTTATGTCACTCTGCCTGTGTGTTACCATACTAAACACACATACCGCCAGTCCCAAGCCCAAATAAAGCAAAGAGGGTTTCTATAGGATGATGGCCAGTATAAAACATAGTTAAATCATGATGAGAGACCAAAATAAGAATTCTGGGGCGATAAGTTGAAGAAAATTAGCCGTTTCTGCTATTCCCTTTTGCCATACCCCAAAGGTGGTTCTTCTATACTCTGTTGTACATTTAGGTAACGAAGGAACTTTCACGGTTACAACAATTAGCAGTGGATAACAAGCTTAGATATATCTGGTGGAACAATAACACTAGGCAATATCGGAGCCATTGGTGGAAAGTTTGGTGCCCCCATTCTCAACTTGCCTCAAGTAGCTATCATTGCCATGGGTAGAATACAGAAACTTCCACAATTGGCAGATGACGGAAATGTTTATCCTGCCTTGATCATGACTGTAAGCTGCAATTTTCCATAGTTTCTTTTCATTCATCCAACAGCTTATAGTAGCATATCTTTCCTCTGAATAATTAATAGCATGTTATATAAAAATAGCATACCCTTCTAATGGCATGCTTATAGTTCTTAATATGCACCACGCTTCATCGTCGGTGTCTGTTGATATCTGACATAATATTTTCCTTCCCAGGTTAACATATGTGCAGATCACAGAGTTTTGGATGGAGCAACCGTCGCAAGATTTTGCAACGAGTGGAAACAGTTTATTGTAAAACCAGAGCTCCTCATGTTGCAGATGAAATGAATACTAGGCTTTGACAATGTATTAGCCCCCTCTTTTCTCATCTGTTTCTTCAAGGGTAAGTACCCTTGTGATAGGAGCACTTAGCAGGAGGATAAAACTTTAGGCTAAGTTTGTGAAGTTATTCCTTAAAAATGATTTAATAAAAACTTTAATAAAAATTTAAATTAATAAATTAATAGAGTTCGATACGAAGAAAATAATATGTAAAAAAAATTATTAAAAATGTTATTTATAGTTTAAATTTAATCAATATTTATTTAACAATAAAAATTCTGTTAATATTTTTATTAAAAATATTTATCTAAAAAATATATCAAATTTATTAAATTTTTTTAAAATTTTACATAATTGATTAATGTGATGAAATATTTTAATTTATGAGTTTTTATTTTTTAATTTTAATTTTTATTTAATCACTTTTAATAAAAAATTTCATAAATTTCACTTAAAAAATTTCATCTAAATCCTTCCCTTAGCAAAAGCCCCAATTCAGATCCAATAAGTTTTTTTTTTAACAAAAATATAGATTGAAAACAAATCTTCTTTATGTCTTTGATTTTTGTCAATTTTTATATAATTAGTTTTTTCAAATTTATATACAATTTTTAATGTCAGACTCCCACAAAATTTTGTTTCATCAATAGTTAAATAATTAAAATTCGTAATTGTCAAATTATAAATACACTGAGACATTGATATCAGCAAATTCAATACGCCATCGTTTTGGCACTTAAATTACTTACCAGGAAAAGTGGGGAAACGGCGCTAAACGCTCACAAACTGAACTGTTTTCAACCGTCAGCAACCGCTGGAGAAATCGAACGGTCCAAATTACACAGAATGAAACGTGTCACAAACCCAATACACTTGATAAACAGCCCTTTTGAGAGATGTCTGCACTCTCTTTTTCTCCAAAAGTGGCAATGGTAATCTAATGGTCCTTCAATTTCCCAATCATGGCAGCCAGATTTCACTTCATTCTCGTTTCACTCTTCACATTCTTCTTCTTAGTTTCTGCTACGGGTATTTCACATTCCTTTTCCTGGTTCTTAATGAACAATTACTTGTTCAACTCTAAACTTGATTTGATCAACTGTTGCAGATGAAGTAACAGTGCCAAAGTTTGCTTTCAGTTGGTTGGATGACAAAGACACATTCCACGCTGGAGATACTGCTACCATCAAAATCAAAGTTCTGGGAAATTTTGATAGCAAAGGAAATGCTTCACTTGACAAAACTGCTTTTAAGCCTACACTTGAAGTGAATGGGAAGACAGGGAATAGTTCTTACATATCTGGTGTTCTATTAGACACTGCTGGTGATCCTAGTACTTGGCAAATTGTTTTTACTCCAATTCTTGCCGGGTTGTTTAATTTGATCATCAATGATGACCCTTTCAAAGTCATGGATTCATCTCTACATTTCACTGTTGAGCCAGGTTTTTCTTTTGCGTTCGCCTTTTTTCTTTTACGAAATGATGATCATTTACTCCATAAATGTTAAATGTTGATAACTCGCAACTTTCTGTTGTCTGATTAAAGGGCCAATGTACCCTTCTGCCAGTGTTGCATCCTGGTTTGGCTTCCTGAATGAATTTGAAGCAGGTTCAAAGGCTCCACTATTGATTCTTCCCAAAGATGCATTTGGAAATAACATTACTTCAACCGACAAAGAACTGAATTCTTATAACATCTTAGTGACTGCTCTCCATGAAAATGGTTCCATTGCAAGTTTGCCAAATATCACTTACATGGGTTGGAATGAATTTGGTTATATCATTGTGGAGTTTATAGCAGTGAAAGCAGGAAACTTCTTATTGCATATAGAAGGGGGAAACCAAATCTTGAATGGTTCTCCATTACCATTCAAGGTAAATCCAGGTGATTTGCTTTTGCTTTTACCATTTGCTGTTAAGTAGGCTTACTTGAGTTTTAAGACGTATGATGAATTTTTACTTTTTCTCATTGAAATGCACTGTGAATTATGATGATCATTTAACACGTATATGTACGCTGAATAAGCTCATTGAATTTTTAAACCGGCTTTTGCAGGACCTTTAGATGTCTCCAATTGTCTGGCCAAATGGAAATTTGAGATCAATGCATGGCAAATCTTTTCTAAGATGGAAATACTTATACACCAGCAAGATCAATATGGGAACCTTGTCCCAGGCTTCTATGAATTTGATGCTGATGTTACGGAGAAGGAGACAAATTTGTCTATACCTGTAGCAGATTTGCAGTTTGAAGAAGTAGAGCCAGGGATTCAGCTGTTCTCTTTCACCATGTCTGAACCAGGGAACTTCTTGCTGACTATTTCTGATATGAAGCACAATAAAAGCATTTCTTATATGCCATACGCTTATACTGTCTTCGTAGGTCCGTAAGCTAAACCTTGTTATGGAAATCTTTCAGTATTAATGGTTAAGATTCATCTTCTTCTGCAAAATCCACCATTTTTTTTGTTAACCTTGTAAAAGTCAATGGTTTTGCTGATTGTACCTATAAAGGTTGTAAACTCTACATCTTCATAACATGTTGCTGTTTCATATTCTAAATCTGAGCAGGTTATTGTGATGGATTCATGAGTATCGTCAATGGGACCGGTTTAAATAATTCTGTTGCTGGGGAAATGGCAGAGTTTTCGGTTTATTTAAGTGATGTTTTCCAATATCCCTCTCCAGTGGAAGTAGAAAGACTTCAAGTGGAAATTAAAAGGGAAGTTGATTCCACATCTGTATTGCCTACCATATATCCTACACAGTTCAGTGATGGTATGTACATGGAATTTATCAACCTTTTGTTTTTTTTTGTTTTTTCCCATTCATATATAGCCTTATTCACGAATTTGATCAAGAAGAACTTAAATTTAATTGAGACACATATACAGGAGAATTACCTGACGATGGGACAAATGAAGCTGAATTTGCCCCTGCTCCATCTATTGGCCTAAACAACACTGTAAGAACTGTATTTGTTTGTAATTGTATCCTTGAGATAGTTATACTTGAGATTTTAATGACAGTTTGGTTCTCAAAAACAGCCTTCTGGTAGGTTGAAAGTTTGGGCCACTGCATTTAATGTCATGTATACTCCTGAAAAGAGTGGTATCTATAAAATTCATGTATTCTGCGGAAATATGATCCTAAATGGTGGTACTCCATTCACAAAGGAAGTAAAAGCAGGTACAATTGTTTGAGTTTATGTTACTGATCTAGTTTTCTTTCAAACTGTAACTTGGATACAGTTAAGAAACATGCATTAGTAAACTGAATTGCACAATGACTTTCATGAAAGCATGCACAAAGTGAATAGTAATCATGAAAAAAAATTCATGAAAGCATTCACATCATCAGCTTTGGTACTTTAGAATGTTAATAAAGGTTTTGACTGACTGAACAAATCTGAATTTTCCCATCTGAATCAAAGTGCCTCGACAAGTTTTCACTCGAGTCCAGATATATAACTTGGACAATCTCTTACTGTTGCATCTTGAATTTTTTTGGATGGTATATGATACAGCATGAACTTCTAGTTATACATCTCTTTGCTCCATATTTCTTGGTGACTAATGGTTTTATAATTTCCTACAGGTGAGGTTAATATATCACTCTCAGGAGTTGTGAAATTTTCTCCCAAGGCACCAAAGCTTGTTAGAAATGAAATAATTGTACAGCTGATGGATTCATTTTCCAACCCTGTGCTTTCAGAACAGTCAAAGCTAAATCTAGAGCTTACTTCAGCTAACTTGACAGGTTTCTCAAATTGGATGTTTGTGGATAACAATGATGGTTCATACACAGGTCACTATCTTGCCATGGAAGTGGGCACCTATGAGATGTGTGTATCATTTGAAGGAAAACATTTCTTGCCCTGCCCTTTCGGGATAAACGTGTATGGAAGTAAGTATTGCTGCAACCTATGGAATTCATACGATTCACGATTTTTTGCAAAGCATATGATGGTACAATCTCTGTTAATGTCGTTCAGGTGAATATTTTCCTACAGCATATGATGACACAATCTCTCTTTGGGAGGATGAGTCAATTTCTTTTGATGTGTTAGAAAATGACTACTTCACTGGTGGTGATGCTAGTATCGTCGAATTCTCAAAAGTAAGATTGAAAGTTGAAGCAGTTTCAACTTTGACAACCCTTTCCCTCCACCATTCTAAACTCATATGACATTTAACAATTTCTTTATGCTGATTAAGATGCAAATGCTACACCGAGAACTTTGTCCTTTGCATAGGATACTGACCTGCAATATGTGATATTTTGTCAGCCAGGTCATGGTTCACTTCTACAGTATGGAAGGCTCTTTAGATATACACCTTATAAAGATTATTTTGGGAATGATTCTTTTCTATATACAATATCTGACATAAATGGTGACCTTGCTACTGCTGCTGTCAACATTTCTGTACTCACTATCCCACCTCAGTTTGTTTCATTTCCAAGTCGATTGCAGGCAATGGAAGATCTGATAAGTCCCAGATTCAGGTAAAGTATTTGCTTTTCTTCAATTATATCTTGGCACTGGAAATGTTTATAAGGCTCATGTCAGTCAATTTAATTTCATTTTTTCACATGATTGAATTCTTGCTCTTTGCAGTGGTTACAATGGATTTGAAATAAAATATTCAGATCCAATTGACAATATCTCTGTCATTCTTAGTGCAAAGTCTGGGACAATATTTCTTTCACCTATGTCCCTGCAATTTTGGCAGCCAATATGGAGTGAACTTTCTGTGAATAAAGGGGATGAGAAAGGAAAGAATCTGACCATAGAGGGACGTCTAGAAGCAATCAATTTCGCACTTCAATCAATTCAATATCTTGGGTACTAATCACTGTATTTAATCTCCTCCCTTAACTGAAGGATACAAGTTTACTGTTTTAGCAGTACTCATGAATGTTTTTCTTGTTAGACAAGGATGTTGTATTGCAGCTTGACTTGCAAGTTTCACAACTGCATAACATTTTTCCTATGCCCTATTGTCAGTTTACTCAATTAGAGTGCTCATTTCCATTGGATATCATTTTTTTTCTGAAGTATATTATAAGTAAATTCTCTCTCATTCGTATTCCTTTGCTTAAATCAGAAACGCAAATTTTTCTGGTAATGATACCCTTCGAGTTTCTGCCAGGAACAGAAACGGGGTAAATGACTTGGATGTTCTAGTTCAAGTGGAGCCCATTAATGATCCGCCATATGTTAATGTTCCTGAATTCATTATGTTGAAGAGCACTCAGGATGAATCTTTGTTATTTAACAAAGAAAACGATAAGTTTCAGTTCTCCATTGGAGATCCAGATGTTCTTAACTTCCCTGGTATGTTCTGAAATACGTGAAGTAGGACATGATCATGCACCTAGGAAATTAGATATATGTATGATGAAAATTTGTGTTTGGTGAACCTGGAGCTTATCACAGCAACCTGTCTGGGGTTTAAATTCCAGCTCCTGCAACCCCTTTCCTTGTCTCCAAGCTGTGGCTTCTTTTGTAAAAGAAAAATTGTGTTTGGTATACATTCAACTCAATAACTCATATCTTCGGATCCAGTTTATATATTTATGATCTAGGAAACCTTCTTCAGCTTTAAGGAGCTAAATGTATGCAATACCAGCACTTAGTTAATAGTAATGCAACAATCCTGCATGGTAAGTAGCCACTAAAACCTTAACCTTCTTAAAATTTCAGGAGGTGAGTCTAGTTTTCTTCTCTCATATTCAGTGGAAGTCAGTGATGGTTTTTTGCTAGCAACTCTACCAGCTGCTCTTATCGATTCGACTGAACTGAAGTTTAAGAATAGTTATCAGTGGCAACCTCTTCAGACATATGTAACCATCTCAAAACATTTTACGGTCAAAGCCATTGGAATAAGATTCCAAGCATCACCTAATGATTGCAATACTGTCATGCAACAACTAGCCTACCATGTAAGTTAAACTTCTTTTGTTAGAGACTTGGTTGCAATCTTCATATGAAATGATTGAATTAATCATGTCATCCTTCAGGGAGGGGAACATGGTGCTGCTTTAACAGTGAAATTAAGCGATTTAGGCCACTATGGATGTTATTCAGGTTGTGCTGAAAGGATAACGAATCCTTTGGCCACTGAGGCTACTGTAAATCTGATCAGAAGAAGACCAATGAGCTCATTGGGAGTTCATAGTTAGTTGAAATAAACAACTTTTCTCTCTCTAAAATATTTTCCATTGTAGTTCTTGTTCTTGTCTGGAATCAACTGATCAATACAATACTTGACTTCGCGGTGTCAGGTCTTGGATCAGCTATAGTCATTGAATTCCTTTTGGTTCTTTCACTTGGATTGATGCTTCTATTCTTCACTTGCAAATGTGCAATTCTTCTTGTAAAGGAGAAAAGGCGACAACAGAATCCCAGAAATCTTGAGCTGTCTACAATGCAAAGTATCCAGAAAGAAACTGTAAGCATGCCTTGAAAAATCTACATTTCTATGTTCCATTACATTTTAATGATGTTGCCTTGTAATAACTCAAAAAATTTGATTTGACATAATTTGTTTGCTTCATTTGCAGTTAAGTACAAATTCAACTGAGGATGATGCTATTCACTTCACAGGGTGTTGCTCAAGCCCCCTTCTTCATGCACAGCAGCCACCTTCCACCTAGCCCTTTAATACATTAATTAATGTTTGACATGTTTGTTGATATTAACAACAAAATCTGGATTATCTTTCTTGCTCTGCTTGTAAAATTGACTAAATTCTTTTTAATTCAATGCTAAATGCTTATACTATATTACTACTTGTAATTTTTTTTAATAAAGGATAATTTTTATGTATGGGACACAAGGATGTAATGAGTCAATTTATCCATAACTATACTCGAATTTGACTCGTTCATTATTGAACCGAACTCAAACTCAAGTTACTCCAATAAATGGCGCCTGCAGCATCATTACAGAATCTCCTGAAACTTGGGACTAAAATCATGGCCGTTGGTCGCAACTATGCCGCGCACACCAAAGAACTCGGCAACACCGTTCCCAAGGTATCTAATTCCCGTTTTTTAGTATCTTATCCAGACACCAGAATTTGATCTGTTTCCGATGTTGGGTAAAAATGCAAAGTTAAATTGTTTTACCAGGAACCAGTCTTGTTTTTAAAGCCGACATCATTGTATTTGGAAAATGGAGGAACAATTGAGGTTCCACACCCTTTGAATTCTTTAGATCATGAAGTTAAGCTTGCGGTTATGATTGGACAAAAAGCTCGTGATGTGCCTGAAAACACTGCCATGAATCATGTCGGAGGTAATATCGAGTAATTTCTATCATCAAGACTGACATGTCTGGCTTCAGTTTACACATATATGGTTTTTTCCCTGATAAAATTCTTGATGGGTTTTCACTAAACTCTGATTGGAGCTGTTTTCTGGGGTAAAAGGTAAAGCTTTTGGGCTTCAAAGCTCAAGATGAGGGTTGAGAGCTCCCTTTTGGTGCAAAAATATGATAAAAGAGTAAAGCAATTTACTTTTCATTCTCCTCCAGATCCCACTTCTTTTGGGAGATTATAATTGGTTCTACAGAAAACTTCAACCGTAATGAACCCAATGATGTGCTTATTACTACTTGTTTGGTATTTGGGTTGTTCACTTTAGTAGGTGTAGGTTGCTATCCTAATATTTTGCAACGGTTTTTTCTTGATTGATTTTATTATAACTTGAATGGAAAACATTGGATGCTGCCACATTTCCCTTTTTTTTGTTGCCCCTTTTGCACATTAACAATTTACATAAGACTCTGATTAAATGATCAATTTAATGTTGAAATGACCACTTATGTGCTTCAGGCTATCCTTTGGCACTGGACATGACTGCAAGGGAAATCCAATTTGCTGCAAGGTACAAATTTGATTCATATGAGTTCGCATGTATATTTTTTAAAGCATTATTACTTCACATGAGAACCTTGTTGCCTTTGGGTGTTCCCCAATTCCATTTTTTGTAGCTATTTTACTCCTATTATTGGTGTGTTAACAAATAAGAGTGGGATCAACACATTAGATGAAGTATGTAAGCAGTGGACAAACCATTCAGCCTCGATGAAACGTGAACATTTGTTTGAAGTTCATTCTATAATAAAGAGTATTGAAAAGTGAATTGTTTCGGGGGAATGCAACAAATAAGAGTGGGATCAACACATTAGATGAAGTATGTAAGCAGTGGACAAATCATTCAGCCTCGATGAAACGTGAACATTTGTTTGAAGTTCATTCTATAATAAAGAGTATTGAAAAGTGAATTGTTTCGGGGGAATGCAACAATTATCTTTTTGGATGATCGCAGCACCATGTTGTTTGAGGATCAATGGAAGAAAAAGTGCTTATAGGCTAAATCATCAACTTTAGTCAAAGATCTTAAGTATATGGTCATTTTTACTTCTTGAGAACAAGATTTTTATTTGTCACGTGCTTTTTCATCTTGATTCTAATTTTCTTATTATTTGAGTTAATGCTGTTCATTTCTGTCACATTTGTCAGTCTGCAGGTCTTCCGTGGACAGTTGCCAAAGGGCAAGGCACCTTCACACCTATCAGTTCTGTTGTAAGAAATAAAATCGAAATAGTTTCATCATTGTTTTTCCTCTAAAGTACATTATGCTTAAATTGGTTTTGAAGCTTTTAATCAGATGATGACTGTCTTTTTACCTCTTACACGTGTTGAATCTGTTGATTGAGAATAACCAATATTAAATGCCTGAAAGAGCAAACAACACAACCTTTTCTCCAAATTTGCAAGCGTTCTCCTTTTAGTTGATGAAAAACCCAAATCAGGCATGTGCGAAGCAGATAAAATACCATTGACTCACCTTATTTATAAGCTTTAGGCATCTGCTTTTTGTTGTCATAATGTGTCTGTATGTGGAGTGTGGAGACTAGTTATTCTTTCTTTGATCATTCTACCATGCTACTTTTCATTTAGTCTGCTGACTTGAAAATTATTCTGCAGTTTTCAAACTTTATGCTGCCTGACCCCGACAACTTGGAACTGTGGTTAAAGGTTTTAATACTAGTATTCTATTATTCACATTTCTTTTCGTTTACAACTTACTATTATTTCTCCCAACTGATCAAGGATTCAAGGTTACATTAATTTCTTTCCAACACAGGTAGATGGAGAAATACGACAAAAGGGTTCTACCAAGGATATGATTTTTAAGATTCCTTACCTCATTAGCCACATAAGTTCCATTATGACACTTTTTGAAGATGTCATATTAACAGGTTATATGGCATTCCTTTTTTCCCTACTTTTCTTCTTTTACATTAGATGGTCATGGTAAACTTTGGACACTTGCCCTTGATAAACTAGCATATTGATCAAGGCCAAAAGCCACAGGCCAAAAGAGCACATTCCCTTGATGCGGTGGTATTTGGTTTTATAGGATCTGATTCATGTTCACGATCCTTGCATCCAGATAGGACTTTTTGCCAGATTTAGTTGCATGTGTCCTCCGACACCGGTGGCATTTCTAAAATGTGTTTTCATGTCTCTCAGTCAACTTAAATTTCTGTACTACTCCATTCATGTGTACTGTGTGGTTGGAGTGCTGTAGTTTCAGTGTGGATTGTGGCATTCACCATCTGTTTTGGTCCATGTTCTTTTCTAATTTTGATTTGGCGGCTTAGTTATTGGACAATATGAAGAAATTTGACTGATCGATATGAAGCCCTAATCCGGTGCCCTGTTGATTTTATTTTTGTAGGCACTCCACAAGTTGTTGGCCCTGTAAATGTAGGCCAGAAGATAACTACCGGAATAACAGACCTCGTGGAAGTTCACTTTGATGTTGGAAAACGCCAAAAGCCAGGAAGCAGTTGAGCTAAGCGCATCTTTGCTGCTACAACCAAAGCCTGTTCAAGCAAAATTTATCCTTTAATTTCTGATTCAATACTGCAGCTGGGCATGAATGGCACATTCTTCTATTGGGGTTAAACTAAACATCTGAGCAGCTAAAAGCAAACATAAACATAACCAAGCATCAGAAACACAGCCCTTGGATCTTTTCTGATAGGCAATTAATAACGTTTTTTTTTTCTTAGTACTTGTGAATCTAGCGTTTATGGAGTCGTTAGCACAATATATACGCAGTGTTACTTACCTGCAGTGAGCCAGGTATATTGAGCTCAACTCAACTAATGCCTATTGGCTCTTGAAACTTGCTCAATTGTTTGGATTGTACTTGAATTTTGGATTGCAAATAAAATTCATGTGAGATTTCATAACACCGACTTGAGTGCAGCTTCAGACCACAAGAATCGTTCAAATTTCAGCATAATTTAGCATATCCAAAAGTCTTCTCCTCACAATGGGTGAATACTTTAGAGATAAAAACTGCAATCTCAAAGTTTATCCATATTGAAGCAGCACTCGCAAACACACAATAGATTAGACAACGAGCTCCCCAGGATGTGGGCGAAGACACTCTTTTTCAAGTAAAAACAGGAGAAATATATCAAATACTAGCAATTTAGAACTTCTGGAAGAAGTCATGTATGTGTTTGTTGATCTCATCAGGCTTTTCTTCCTGGAGAAAGTGTGCTACTCCTTCCATCACAACCACTTCCTCCAAAAGTGGAACATCTCTCTTGAGATCCCCCTTATCTATATAGTCCTCGACTCCCGGAGCATTATAGGTCAGATCCTGGTCGCCAACGATGAACTTAACCGGCACTTTTTCTTGACTCCCTGTCCAGGGTGCTGTAAGTTCCCAGTTTCTGCAACAAAGTAAACAAAAACTGAATAGATTCAACTTAGATTTGCATATGCCATTGACTCAAGTTGGAAAAGAAACATACAAGTCTATATTTCTGTAATAGTTCAATCCTCCAGTGAAGCCTTTCTTCTCATATTGGCTGATGTAATAATTAAAATCTGCCTCTGATAACCAAGACGGCAAGCCAATTGAAGAGTCTGGTTGATTGAAATATTTGCCCTTTGGTAAAACAAGAGGACCTGGGTTACGGTATGATAGGAATCCCTTTAGAACTCTCTCATATCCTAGCTCGCCGAATTCAGCCTCTATTACTCCAGGCTCCTGCAAAATTATCAAGCAATCAGCCCATTAATCAGCCGTTAGGTGGCCTATTCATGTAATTACAGAAATTTTCCTCTATAAACTACATCAAATGTGAGAGCAAACCTAAAGAATGAGAAGTTTTCTTCCAAACCGAAAGGAAAATTTTTTACACTTTGCAATAAACAGTGACTCATTGATGATCAAAAAGAAAACTCAAGAGTGAAAGGAGATACCCAAACTGAATATTAAAAAGTTCAAGTAGGAAGATAATATGTTAAAAAGGTGTACGGATGCACAGATCAGTTCCAAATTGAACTTCAATCTGATTAAAATAACACTTGAAACAGTGGATCAAACATTAAAAAAGATTGCTCTGGGAAAGTACAACAATAATCAAGTGTGAATAAAATATAGTTAATCTACAGTTAATTAAGCAGCTTCTTGCAAAACTTTCTAGCTAGATTTATGAGATTATAGGTAAGTATCAAAAATCTTAGAATTTCAAGCAAAGGGTCATGATTAAAATTTATTTGAAAATGGAAAAGGAAACAAGGACCTGAAATCTGCAGACGTAGTAATCATCTCTGTGGAAAGCTCTGAGACTTTCAAGAGGTTTCCTCTTTGGGTTCCTAGGTTTGAACACAACACTCGTGTTAACCAAAGCCTTAACCCTGTCTGGTCTAAACAGGCACAACCACCAAGCGATGAGCGCACCCCAATCATGACCCACCACAAAAACCTTGTCCTGTTCCGGGGCAACAACATCCAGGAGAGCAACGAGATCACCCACCACGTTCAAAATGGTTTAGCTGGAGACCACATCCGGTGCATCCGTTTCCCCATATCCACACAGGTCAGGAGCCACAGCCAGATATCCAAGCGAGGCAAAAGCAGTGATCTGGTGACGCCAGGAGTACCAGAGCTCTGGCAATCCATGGAGGAAGAGAATCACCGGGCCTTTCCCTTTCTCTGCTACGTGCATGTTTATTCCATTGACGTTCATTATCCTGTGCTCTATCTCCTCCATTTCTTTGCTTTTTTCTCTCGAACTATCTGGTCTGCTTGAATAAGATTTTGATGCCAAGTTACAGTAATAAAATGGAAAACTAGTTCTAGCACAACTAACGACAGTTGCGTTTACACTTGGTCTACGCAAACTTGAATGGATTGCTGTCGAGATATAGGATTTGTGGTTCAAGATTATAGCATGGGCGTAAAGGCAACGTACTCCAATTATTGCCCTGATCGTTCTCATTTTACGAAGGAATAGAAATTCAACGAAAGATCATTCGTTCATCAATTGAAAGAGTCCTCGGTAACTAGGTCAGTTCCCTGATCACGAGTAACTAATGCCTTGGGAGAAAAACACAAGGGATAAATAGATTTATAGTGTTTGATGAAATCAAAGATTCCTTCCTTCCAAAATATTTATTATATATTAGTTTTCATGAAATTTAATAAAAAATTTTAATTTTAATGTATTTAATATTAAATTTTAAATTTTTTTTATAAAATTAAAGTTTTACGATTTTTTATGTCAAAAAATAAAAAATCATAAAAGAAATTTTAAAATATAAAAATAAGAAATTTGACTATTAAAAAATAATATAAGATATAATTTTAAGACATATAAAATAAATAAATAAATAAATGATATAGAATTTCATAACTGATTTATCTAATTATATCTTAATTTTTTATAAAAGAAATCGAAACTTAGAAAATATATAAAAAAAAAAAATTAAGTACTGAAATTCATGTTCATTCTTACAAAAATTCATTACTTAAATTAAATCTTAGGTTCATTAAATCTTAGTTTATATCTATCAATTTTGACTTATAACTCTTAGCTTATTAAAGTTTAAAGCTCCTATAATTTCAAAAAAGAAGTTCAAATAAACCTCCTATTATTATTATTATTATTATTATTATTATGATAATTGATTCTTTGGTTGTGAAACGCTTTCCTTAGTAGTTAGTAGCAAATGAAAGATTAGGCTTTCTTCCCCGTTAAAAGAGAAAAGAATTTGATTTCAATTTATCATGTAGTGACCCCATTTGTCTCCCATGTAATGGAGTGGGGTTCCCATTTACTTGCTAAAATGTCAATTCAATAGCAAATAGTGAATGTTGTGTTGATGCATTTCACTCAATAATTAAACTTAATTATTAATGCATCCTTTTTCTTACTTAAAAATTAAAATGTTGGATTAAATCTTCTCATCCTCATTATAAAAAGAAAAAGGTGTTTTTAAGATCCAATTAAAACTGAAATAAATTCTTATTTAAATGATGAAAGTTATTTTCAAATATATATATATATATATATTTTGCATTAGTTATAGTAATATTATTTTTGTTTTTTTAAATTTGCTTGTAAAAGTTTTATAATGTATCTTCATAGGATTAAAATAATATTGGTATTCAAGAAACACCAAAGCAATCATTCACAGTCAACTTTATTTTCTTTTTTTTTTCTGGGTTAGTTGTGGATAAGGCCATAAGGATAATATAATATTGAAGTTGATAATATTTTATTGCTTAGAACTTCAATGGCAAGTTTTCTAATATATTGATAATACATTAGAAAAGTTTTATTTAAGGAAAAAAAATAGTCTAATTTTTAAAATTTACGTTGAATGAATGGTTTCACAATT